GAGAGAGGCAGAAAGAAATTTTGAAAAAGGGATAGCAGATAAATGTAAAACAGAACCGGGCCTATTCTACAAATTCATAAACAACAAATTGCAGGTAAAGGATAATATCCAGAGGTTGAAAATGGGAAACAGATTCACGGAAAATGAAAAGGAAATGTGTGAAACATTAAATGAAAAGTTCCAAAGTGTGTTTGTACAAAATGAAATCTTCAGAGAACCAGACACAATAAGAATTCCAGAGAACAACATAGAGCGGATAGAGGTGTCTAGAGATGAAGTGGAAAATATGCTAAAGGAGCTCGGGAGGAACAAAGCAGCTGGCCCAGATGGCGTTTCACCATGGGTTCTGAGAGAATGTGCATCTGAGCTCAGCATTCCACTTCACCTGATCTTTCAGGCATCCCTGTGTACAGGAATCGTAGCAGACGTGTGGAAACAGGCTAACATAGTTCCAATCTACAAAAGTGGCAGCAGGGAAGACCCCCTCAATTATAGACCTGTATCATTGACAAGTGTAATAGTGAAAGTATTGGAAAAGCTAATCAAAACTAAATGGGTAGAACACCTGGAGAGAAATGATATAATATCAGACAGACAGTATGGTTTTCGATCAGGAAGATCCTGTGTATCGAATTTACTCAGTTTCTATGATCGGGCCACAGAGATATTACAGGAAAGAGATGGCTGGGTTGACTGCATCTATCTGGACCTAAAAAAGGCTTTCGACAGAGTTCCACATAAGAGGTTGTTCTGGAAACTGGAAAATATTGGAGGGGTGACAGGTAAGCTTCTATCATGGATGAAAAATTTTCTGACTGATAGAAAAATGAGGGCAGTAATCAGAGGCAATGTATCGGAATGGAGAAATGTCACAAGTGGAGTACCACAGGGTTCAGTTCTTGCACCAGTGATGTTTATTGTGTACATAAATGATCTACCAGTTGGTATACAGAATTATATGAACATGTTTGCTGATGATGCTAAGATAATAGGAAGGATAAGAAATTTAGATGATTGTCATGCCCTTCAAGAAGACCTGGACAAAATAAGTATATGGAGCACCACCTGGCAAATGGAATTTAATGTTAATAAATGTCATGTTATGGAATGTGGAATAGGAGAACATAGACCCCATACAACCTATATATTATGTGAGAAATCTTTAAAGAATTCTGATAAAGAAAGAGATCTAGGGGTGGTTCTAGATAGAAAACTATCACCTGAGGACCACATAAAGAATATTGTGCAAGGAGCCTATGCGATGCTTTCTAACTTCAGAATTGCATTTAAATACATGGATGGCGATATACTAAAGAAATTGTTCATGACTTTTGTTAGGCCAAAGCTAGAATATGCAGTTGTTGTGTGGTGCCCATATCTTAAGAAGCACATCAACAAACTGGAAAAGGTGCAAAGACATGCTACGAAGTGGCTCCCAGAACTGAAGGGCAAGAGCTACGAGGAGAGGTTGGAAGCATTAAACATGCCAAAACTAGAAGACAGAAGAAAAAGAGGTGATATGATCACTACGTACAAAATAGTAACAGGAATTGATAAAATCGACAGGGAAGGATTCCTGAGACCTGGCACTTCAAGAACAAGAGGTCATAGATTTAAACTAGCTAAACACAGATGCCGAAGAAATATAAGAAAATTCACCTTCGCAAATAGAGTGGTAGACGGTTGGAACAAGTTAAGTGAGAAGGTGGTGGAGGCCAAGACCGTCAGTAGTTTCAAAGCGTTATATGACAAAGAGTGCTGGGAAGACGGGACACCACGAGCGTAGCTCTCATCCTGTAACTACACTTAGGTAATTACACACACACACACATGAAAGGTTCTTACAAAAGTTGGAGAAACAGGCAGGAGTAAAAGGTAAGGTGCTCCAGTGGATAAGGAAGTATCTAGGCAACAGGAAACAGCGAGTAACTGTGAGGGTGGAGATATCAAAGTGGCGAGATGTCACCAGCAGAGTCCTACAGGGCTCTGTACTTTGACCCATCCTGTTTCTGATATATGTAAATGATCTTCCAGAGGGTATAGAATCATTCCTCTCAATGTTTGCTGATGATGCAAAAATTATGACAAGAATCAAGACAGATGAAGATATGCAGAGTCTACAGGACCCCCTGGACAAACTGGAGGAATGTCCCTAGAAAATGGCTTGTGACAGACCTAGGCGCCGTCTATGATCCAGGTTCCGAGTTAAACAGATGACCCTCCTATTAATATCAGTTTCCCATCTTCTAGTCTGCTGTTCTGGGAGGTGATGAGGTGCTAGTGACTGGCAACAGATGGGAGTGAAGCAGAGTGAAGAAATAATTTGGTTGACCTTGAGACTTGCTACCCAGAGGGCTAGTGGAGTGCTGCGGACTTCCCTGTTGGAGTGTGCTAACCAGAGGGGTTAGTAGTGTGTTGGAAGACTTCACTGTTTGAGTGTGCTAGCCAGACAGTTAGCAGAGTGCCTGAAGACTTCACGATTTGAGTGTACTAGCGAGTAGGCTAGTGGGATGCTTGAAAACGTTACCATAACTGCAGCTAGCGTGAAGGCTAGTGTTTCACTGGACAACCTCTTTAGAAGCTTGTAAATAGTAGTAGTTATAGATAATAATAAGTGACAGTTTTAAGTGCAATTTTATTTCTTACCTTAAACATTACACTACATTTCCACCAAGGATAAGGATCTCTGACCTTGAGAAGGATCAAAGAGTTTAAAAGAACTCGGTTACAGAAGGGTTCCTAACATAGCTACTAAAGTTTAACTCAGGAAAGTGTCAAGTAATGAAATTAGGCAAAGGGGAACAGGAGACTGAACACAAGGTACCATCTGGGAGGTGAAATCCTGCAAGAGTCAGAGAGAAATCTGGAAGTTGATACCACACCGAACCTGTCCCCAAAAGCCCACATCAAAAGATCATCAGCAGCAGCATATGCTAGATTGGCCAACATAAGAACTGCCTTTAGAAACTTGTGTAAAGAATCATTCAGGATCTTTTATACCACTTATGTCAGACCAATCCTGGAGTATGTAACTCTAGCCTGGAGTCCATATCGAGTTTAACACAAGACATTAAAGACGATTCAGAGGGATGCCACCAGACTAGTCCCAGAACTGAGACGTATGAGGAAAGGCTAAGGGAGCTAAACCTTGTGTCCTTGGAAGACATGATAACCACCTACAAAATTCTCAGGGGAATTGACAGGGTGGACAAAGACAAACTATTAAGTATGGGTAGAATCCGAACAAGAGGATACAGGTGGAAACTTAATACCCAAATGAGCCACAGAGCCAAAGAATTTGTTCAGTGTTAGAGTAGTTAAGTGGAATGCATTAGGCAGTGATGTGATGGAGGCAGACTCCATATACAGTTTCAAATGCAGATTTGATCTGAAGCCAATAGGCTTCAAAATCTGCGCACAAGTTGATTGACAGTCGAGAGCCGAGACGCAAAGCTCAACCCCCTGTTAGCCCTGAATACTTACACACACACACACACACACACACACACACACACACACACACACAAAGATGGCCGCCACAATGGGAGAGGTAAGCACACCAGCAGATGAATGTTTCGAAGGATTCTCAGCACAAGATATGAGGAAAGGAGGTTTTCTTGGGAGGTTAGAGATTATTGAGGACAGGCTAAAGGAGTATGAAGAAAAGGTTCTTAAATTAGAACAAGATAAGGCAGCTATCAGGGATGAGGTTTGCAATCACCTCGCTCTACAATTCACCTAACCACCTCAATCGTAGGGATCGGCAAAGGATAGGGTAAGGCAAGTGTTGCTTGACTCTGGCTTCTAGTTGTCTCCCAGGTCTGCCATCTGCTAAACATCATCATTCTCAACAACAAAACACCACCCTGAATCGACTAGACATAGTGAAAGTTACGACAATAATCACACGCCTGACGATCATTGGAGGCTTTGTATGCTTGAGGCTATGTTCATTTGGGAGCCGACACCAGTAATCAACATCCAGATGAATTCAACTTCAAGCATACAGCTGTTCGATGATTCTCCATTGAACCAGAGGGAAGATGGCAGACCTAGCAGACAACTAGAAGCCGGAGTCAGGCAACAATCACCTCACTCTATCCTTTGGCGCTCCCTATGACTGAGGTAAGGTGAATCGCAGAATGAAGTGTACACACACTTATAAATGTATAGATTTCTCCTTGTAAGCTAGTATATCTGTCTGTTGAACATTGTATATTCTTGAAAGTGTCACATTGCTGATGGGACGTCTATCAATGAAATGGATAGATTAAGTGATCGTGTTTCTTCACCCTCCAGATGGTAGAAGGTATTTGTGTAGAATGGAAAATATCCATAAAAAAATTAATAATAGTCACAATGCTGTTATGTTTAATGACGTGTATTAGAGAAAACCTGCTCCCAAAATATACAAATGTATATACATACATAGCCATTCCGGAACTAAAAAACAAGAGTTACGAGGAGAGACTGGAGGCATTAAACATGCCAAAACTAGAAGACAGAAGAGATATGATCACCACTTACAAAATACTAATAAGAATCGACCAAATTAACAAAGAGGAATTCTGAAACCAGCAACTTCATGAACAAGAGGACACAGATTTAAGCTAAGGAAACAAAGATGCCAAAAAGTATTAGAAAGTTTTCTTTTGTACCCAGCATGGCAGATGGTTGGAACAAGCTAAGTGAGAGGGCGGTGGAGGCCAAAATCGTCAGTAGTTTCAAAGCGTTATACAACACAGTACCGGGAAGACGGGACACCATGAGCATCTCTCTCACCCTGTAAACACACTCTTAGGAAATTCACACAAATACATGCACATATACACATTCTGTACTAGTATGCATAATGTACATATTATACTGAACAGATATTCAAAACTGTGCAAATTAAAAAATAGTAATATTTTCTAATGCATTAAAATATACATTTGTAAGTTTTTATAGAAATGAATGATTATATTAATGAGTATTAGAAAAATATGCAGCATTACGCATTTTCATGTAAGTATTATTTAATGTAATTCAATTACATCAGAAAGAACACGCCATTTAAGTTTTAAATTTAAACAAATCTTTGAAAACCCAACTCCTTCAAACAGTTTTACCAAAAATCCTCTCTGATCTCTAAACACACATGCTGTGTTTATTACAGATGTAAACACAAGAGTTAACATGGCACAGTTCTGACCTAATTATTAAAATAAACTATTGGGGTCCTACTTTTTTATATTAAAAATCCTGCAGCTGAAGTGGAACATATAATTATTCTCTCTGTGCATCATCAGGCAATTAAAACTAATATTCCACTTCACTTTCATAAATGGAGAAAAATATAAAAATATAAAATGTTAAACAGTACAATTTTGTAATAAATTTTGTAATAAAATATAATGATTTACATCTCTATTTTATGTCATATCACCCTAGCAGCCAACTTCAATTGTAACCTAACAAATACTAGATGAGCATGCCTTTAGGTATACAAGTTACAATGTGCAATGGAATACATTGTGCAGACAGCATTTGTAGAATTTTCCTTAAAGTAATTATCGTTCTCATCCAGATTTGATCCAATCACTAAATTACGTAGATTGCAGTAGTTCACTCCAAAGTCAATGACAGCAAAGTAAGCAGCTGACTCACTGAAAGCCTGAAGAGAATATATGGAATTCACTATAAATAGAAAATGTAATTACCAGTAATAAATTTATTAACCAGAAAGTTATTCCCCAGGCAAATCTCACAAAATAAATACAATTTGAGATATTACTATAAATACAAATTCTAACCATCCTATCTTGAGGTTATCTTGAGAAGATTTCGGGGCATAGCGTCCCTGCGGCCCGGTCCTCGACCAGGTCTTCTTTTTGTTACACACACCCATATGGGAAGCAGCCCATAGCAGCTGTCTAACTACCAGGTACCTATTTACTGCTAGGTAACAAGGACATCAGGGTGAAAGAAACATTTTGCCCATTTGTCTACACCTCCACTGGGGATCGAACCCGGAACCTCAGAACTACGAATCCGAAGCGCTGTCCACCCAGCTGTCAGGCGCCAGCTACTGCGGCGCCAATTGCAGTCTCCGTGGTGTAGTGGTAAGACACTCACCTGGCGTTCCGCGAGCGCTATGTCATGGGTTCGTATCCTGGCCGGGGAGGATTTACTGGGCGCAATTCCTTAACTGATAACTGAGATGACTGACTGAGATGTCAGTCTCCGTGGTGTAGTGGTAAGACACTCGCCTGGCGTTCCGCGAGCGCTATGTCATGGGTTCGTATCCTGGCCGGGGAGGATTTACTGGGCGCAATTCTTTAACTGTAGCCTCTGTTTAACGCAACAGTAAAATGTGTACTTGGATGAAAAAACGATTCTTCGCGGCAGGGGATCGTATTCCAGGGACCTGCCCGAAACGCTACGCGTACTAGTGGCTGTACAAGAATGTAACAACTTGTATATATCTCAAAAAAAAAAAAACTGTAGCCTCTGTTTAACGCAACAGTAAAATGTGTACTTGGATGAAAAAACGATTCTTCGCGGCAGGGGATCGTATTCCAGGGACCTGCCCGAAACGCTACGCGTACTAGTGGCTGTACAAGAATGTAACAACTTGTATATATCTCAAAAAAAAAAAAAAACTGTAGCCTCTGTTTAACGCAACAGTAAAATGTGTACTTGGATGAAAAAACGATTCTTCGTGGCAGGGGATCGTATTCCAGGGACCATAGGATTAAGGACTTGCCCGAAACGCTACGCGTACTAGTGGCTGTACAAGAATGTAACAACTCTTGTATATATCTCAAAAAAAAAAAAAAAAAAATGTTACAAATATGAAATACTGTACAGTATTCTTGTTATGATCTCAGCCTGCAGGAGAAACTAGTCTCCCTCCTTGAGAGTTATTCAGCAAGCCTGACCTGATTAGAAGGTCTAGCAAATATTGAGGTAATAACCCATATGTAAAAAAGTTGCTTGGATATATATAACAATTTAAGATTATGGGCAATGAAGAAGAAAACAGATAAATGACTGGCTAGGAGATGTGGATATTTTGCTGGAGGCGTGAGGCTCGCTTCTGGAGGGGCTTTGACCTCACTTGAGTGCCAGACATCGCAGGGGAAAGCCGCGCTCCGTTGAGCTCCTGTCAGAAGGGAACCCATAGTGATATATCTCGAAGAGAAGAGAAGTGTGCAGACGTGCCAGCTGTGGAACTGAGCTGGGAACGTTGTGGTCTCAAGTCCTGGTCGAAGGGGAGAGTTTTAAACCGCCCAGAGGCATTATTGTGGGCCGTGGAAGCACCTTGACCAAGCTCTGTCAGAGGGATAGCGCCCTCGACCAGACGATCTGTGGTAAGCACGGTATACGCCAGTTCATAGTGATTGCTTGTAGTTGGTCGTGTGCCCAGCGACAGTAGCAATGTTTATTTATAAGTTAGACATGTTTTAATAAGGCAGAAAGCCTAAAATAAGAGAGTGAAGAGGGAGGAACACGGAGCGACGTCCGTCCCCTCTGAGCGCTGGCGGGCAACTGAGGGAGCCTGGCTCCTGACGGTGAAGGACCCTCCCGGAGTGAGGAGGCCCGCCGGGCGAGGTGGAGTATGGACCCGCCCAAAACGGGGGAGTCCACTCTCACTGTATGTAGAGGACAGATAGAGGTTTGAGGCAAGCATATTGTGTGGTTATTTTTGTTTATGTGTTAAAGGGGAACATTTTTATTGGAGTGTCGATGGGTTGCAGGTTTGTCTTTGGGGAAGAAGTTGCTGAGAACTTCGAAGCCAGCACAGATGAAGTAGCTGATGAGACTCCAAGGTAGTGGAGCAGAGGACCTCGAGCTGTGAGGAGAAGCGGTGAAGAGGAGTGTCACGTGCTTCTGTAGAGGTGGTGAAGCACCATAGTTGCTCGAGGAAACTTCATGGTGTAGCAGCCAAGAGAGCTGTGGAGGAACCTAGCAGAAGTAGTAGAGCACCATAGTTGCTCAAGGAATCTTCATGATAGCAGCCTGGAGGAGCTGCAGAGGATCCTGGTAGTGAAGCCCGGAAGAACCTGAAGATATCAGGGTAGTGAACTTCCAGAGGTGGAAGGGGAAGTTCTGGTGGATTACTTGTAGGGAGTTGATAGTGTTTGGTTGTCATTAGCGTGCAAGACGCAGTGAGAGGTGAGTGACTGTTTGCATTCTTATGTCAAGGAGTGTTTTACACTGAAGTTTAGAGTTACAGTCGTAGGCTGGATTACCTACAGATGTATGCGTTCTAGGACTGATAGAGTGATCGATTGATCATTGTTGTGTATCAATGAACATTTATACTGATATATGTTATTGCATTCAAATGCTGATTTTCTTTGTACATATTTATAGATACATATATATATTCTCTTGCTGATGGTGCAACAGTGTATGTAGACTTGATCAACTTGAGGTGGTTGATAGTATCAGGTGGTGAACCAGGAGATAGGATACCACTTGGTAAACTGACAATAGAGTTCTGATGGTGTTGGAGAGCAACCTGATTGTAATATTATAGAGTATAGGATTCATTATTACTATATGTGTGTATGTATCGTGTATGTGCTTTGTCCAGTAAATGTATCCCAATTTGCCGGTGTTTGCCCTTGTCCTAGTGAGGCTTCCCAGGAGGTAGTAAAGAAGGAGAGAGAGAGAGAAAGAACCAAGAACCACTGCTGTGGACAGGGTAGGAGGTAATACTAGTAAGTCACAGGGGATTGAGGAGATCATATCTCATAAGGAGAGAGTGGGGAGTCACAGCGGCTCGAGTGGGTGTGTGCACGTGACAACGAGGCTAAGTGTTGGAGCCGCATCCCCTAAACGTGTGACGTTGAGCCCCTCTCCAAGAGCCAGAAGCGCCTAGTGTGATCTCCTAGTATAAGCACTCTACCGAGTTGTGGGTTGGGTTGTCCATAGAGAAGGATCAACGACGACAACACCACCAACCCACAACTCCTCGTGCCTCTCTGAGAGGGCCAGGTTCTGGCTCGTGGTCCCTGGTAGGCCTAGAAGTCCATGCGCATTTACTGATGCCAGGGTCTAATACATTCATATCAGCCCGGTTAGCTCTGGGAAGCCATAGGGGCTCTCCCCAGAAACCAGCATTGAATGCAACAAATTGCCAATGTTTGGGTGATCCCTCGTGGCACCGTGAAACTATTACACTGATATAGTTCCATACTACTAGGTACCATCAGTCACGAAGTTCTTATTGGCCTACCAGGGACCACGAGCCACAACCTGGCCCCCCCTCAGCAAGGCACAGGAAGTGGTGGTATTATGAAAACCCTTTATGTAAAGTTATTTATGTCTACCACCACCAAGGGAAGGCACCCAGAAACTCGGTGAAACAAAACAGACTACTGCTTGGTTAGAAATCTGACCAACTCAAAACCGCCAAAAGAACTCCCCAACAATGTAAACAAATGATCGAAAATTCATGAAACTAGCGCGAGTTAGTTCATCCCCCTTCATTTGAGGGGAGGAGGGAGGCAGACAGGTTAATATTAATAAAATATTGATATTTAATTAATATTTGAACTTCAACTTAATTCATTTGCAGAGAGACCAAAATTAATGACACATGGGGGCACAATAATATTCACTTTTGGCTGTTCTGTAAATTTTTAAATATCCACTTAGTATTTTATAATATAATTTGTAAAATATTATGTTGTATTAAAGTTCTATAAATGTTTTTAAGCACTGTACAATAGTTTACACTTTGATTAGGTGGATAATGGATGATGATGATAAAGCTACCTCCCAATGACCGGCGTTGGCAGCAGCTTTGATGAACAATCCTCACTTACTTGAACACTTGTGTTTTACTGAACTATATGTACCAAATACAATTGGTGTGGACTAACCAGGAATTTGTTAGAGTGGGATTCATTAGAGTGAGGATGCACTGTACTGTAACTGCTGAGTAAATGAAGGTTTTATATAGTGAATATAAATCCAACTACTTACAGTTACTGTAGTCAGATTTATTTACAAAAAAGAAAATATTAAAATCATAAGCAATATCTTACCTGAACATGACAGTTGCCATCATCCCCATTAGTAAGCGTAAAATTAAATCTATCAACAAAAGCTATCCACGGTGTTACATGAATGCCTCGTATGGTATTATCCTCTTCACCAAGGTACTGTTGGGTAAAAAGTAAAATGCTTGTATTAACAAATTACTGGTGATGATCTGAACTACATAAATTCTATAATACATTACATTACACTATACCAGTATATACTTCTTGGCAGCTACAGTATTGTATTATCAAAATAAAAATATAACTTTCCTTAACTATTATACTAAAGGAATAAATCAATGGATATAGTCTATACAGACGTAAAAGACATTGATAACTATTTACTTATTTACTGCACAAATCTACTGGCATTTAGTCTATTATTTACTATCACACATACTAGCTATTTAAACAAAACCCAGCATATAGTTCAATCGAACATTGTACAATCAGCCCGTCCTCCTAAGGTTTCCCAACGTCATGAAAACAGTAAAGTTAAAGTGTCCTCTCCTAATCTATCGGAGGATCCAAAACAGAAAGCCCTCCTCCTGGGTGCTTCCCTGGGAGATTTGGCAAAGATGATAACCTCTAAATGTAAAGTGATCATAGGCCATCGCTCCCTTCGCCTTTCTGAGGGGGCCAGGTTCTGGCTCGTGGTCTCTGGTAGGCAAAAATAACTCTGGAACTGATAAGATTTGGTAGTATGGCACTTAATCAGTGATGATAGCTTCAGGGAGCTGACGGGGCCTACCTTGAGGTGATTACCTTGAGGTGATTCTGGGGCTCAGCGACCCCGCGGCCCGATCGTTGACCAGGCTTCCTCGTTGCTGAACTGGTCAACCAGGCTGTTGGACGCGGCGGCTCGCAGCCTGACGTATGAGTCACAGCCTGGTTGATCAGGTATCCTTTGGAGATGTTTGTTAAGTTCTCTCTTGAACACTGTGAGGGAGTTGGCCAGTTATGCCCCTTATGTGTAGCGGAAGTGTGTTGAACAGTCTCGGGCCTCTATTGTTGATAGAGTTATCTCTCAGAGTACCTGTTGCACCTCTGCTGTTCAATGGGGGTATTCTGCACATCCTGCCATGCCTTCTGGTCTCATGTGCTGTTATTTCTGTCTGTAGGTTTGGGACCAGCCTCTCTACTATTTTCCATGTGTAAATTATGTATCTCTCCCACCTGCACTCAAGAGAATACAGGTTTAGGCTCTTTAGTCGGTCCCAGTAGTTTAGATGTTTTACTGAGTGGATTCTGGGCCCCCCACAGGAAAAAAATCTTACAGTAATATACCATTTTTCATTGATCTTAGGAAAATTAAAATATTTCTGCTATTCCTACTCTGGTTATAGCAGCATGAAACAGACAATCCCACTACAGCTTGAAAGACTTTCTCAATCCACACCCCTTTCTCATATTAAATCGGTAACAATTAGATTTCTTTAACATTTCACACCAGTAGGCTCTTCCCACCAAAAGACCACCCACACACCAAAGGTAATCAGTGAGAAGACAGACAAAATGAGGAAGAGGCAGACATACAGCCAGATACAGAGACAGATATAGGCCTGCAGAGACACCAGGGGCCAGATTCACGGAGCAGTTATGCAAGTACTTGCGAACGTGTACATCTTTCCTCAATCTTTGACGGCTTTGGTTACATTTATTAAACAGTTTACAAGCATGAAAACTTCCCAAGCAACTGTTGTTATTGTTATAAATAGCCTCCTGGTACTTCAGAGCTCATTAACTGTTTAATAATTGTAAACCAAACTGCAAACCCCCCTCCCCCCACCCCTCACTCTCTCGGGGGGGGGGGGGGAAGTTATGGGATGAAGGGGAAGGGAGGACCGGAAGGAAAAGGGGAAAGGGAGGACATGTATGTCAGGAGGAGGGGATGGGTAGCAGGGTGGAAATGGGGTGTGGGGGGAGGGAGATTTGGCTTAGCATTTGAGTGGGGGCAGGGAGGGTTTGGGGGAGGAGGGTTTTCTATGCAAAGGAGGGTGGTGTGGTTGCCCTCCCCTCTGGTGCTACTGGGTATCTGGATGTGGGTTTCCCCCTCACCTCTGGGGATGATGTGTTGGGAGCTGTGAGTTCCTGGTTTTCCCCTCTCGCCCTGCGCTTCTTCCTTGCTTCTGCCGCCATGGCTTTCTCCTCCCTTGTCATGTCCCTCTGGAGGAATACTGTTTTTAATTCTCCCACCTGTTGCAGGTGGCTTTTCCTTGCTAGAATCATCTCCTTTGTGTTCTCGTTTGCAAACACTAACTTTAACACATGGTCTCGGTCTTTGTTGTACCAGCCTAGCCTGAAAAACCTCCTCAATTCTATGCTCGGCCCTTTCCATCCCTAGTGCCTTTAGTATTTCATTTACTGCTGTGTTGTCCTTATCATTCCACTCTGTCCTGTTGGAGCCTTCCTGAACTTTATTACCCACAGCTACCACTGATCTTCTTCTTTCCAGCAGTTGGCTAGTGGAGCGTGCCGCTTCCTGCAAGTTGGCTGCTATCATGGCCACCTCCATCATCGTGGACATTACTTCAGTTATTTTTTTATAATTTCTGCAAATGTTGCTTTTATAGTGGCATTCTCTTCCAGTATACTATTTCCACCTTCCCTTGGATGATTTTCTAAGTCTCAGTATGAACACTGTTCTCCTTGAGGGTTCTAATCTCCTCTTTTGCTGCTGATAGCTCTCTTTTCAGGTTGCTTATTTCATTCTTCATTTCCTGCATCATTCCCTGCATCTCACTCTTGATATCCTCCAAAGCTGGGCAAACATTTCCATCATTTCGTCACCTTGACTTTTCCCTGTTTCCTCTACCTCCTCTTCCATGTGTGTGTGTGCGCGTGCATTAAAAAAAATATATATATATTATTGACAGTTGAGAGGCGGGCCAAAAGAGCCAGAGCTCAACCCCCGCAAGCACAACTAGGCAAATACATCAGGTCAAGAGCTGGGGGGGGGGGGGATTAGGGGAGTGCTAACGAGTGAGTGCTAGTTGCATGGAGTGTTGCTTGTTTGGTTTCTTTCTCGTAGAGTTCTTTTGATCTTTTAGGACGTAGATAGCACAGGTTAACCAGACAGTGGTCTGCTTAGATTCGCCTACCTTTCTGGGTCCTTCCCAGGTCCATGGTAATTATGACTTGCTTTAAATGTAAAGTGCTCATAGGCCATTGCTCCCTGCACCTCTTTGAGGCCAGGTTGTGGATCATGGTCCCTGATAGGTAAAAGGACTCCTGTGACCCTAAACTAATATAGCACATATTAGTTCAGATAGCTTCAGGGAGCTGACAAGGTTCCCCACAGGATGTACCACCTCTGATTTCTGTCTCCTTAACCCTTAAACTGTGCAACAAATCAACAGTTGAGGCAAGTAATTCACAGAATTGCTCTCTCTTGTCATGCAATTTTGTTGTGGCCACTATGTTGTTTGGACACCATACCAGCTTAGTTGTACCAGTTCTGGTGAATAAAATACGTAGATAATTATATATAATGTGTGTGTATATAGTGTCAAAACACCACAAACAGTATGGTTGGAGGAGGAATGTTAGTGTGTCTGGAACTGAACGAGTGAGGGAGGTAGGGAAGTGTCAGCTGACTGTGTCGACCTCTGTTATTGTCTGAACTTACCTTACCACCTTAATTGTACAGTTATGGTGAACAAACGTGTAGATACAGTACTTATATATAACATGTGCGTGTATATAGTGTAAAAACAGCACAAACAGTATAGTAGGAGGAGGAATGTTGGTGAGTGAGGGAAGAAGGGAGCATCAGCTGTGTAGTGACCTCAATTACTGTCTTGACTCACCATTCCAGCTTAGTTAAGCTGGAATGTTAAGTTGGTTTACACATTTTATTATATAAATATATCATACTACACACTTTTGAATAATATTACTGCAAAACAGAAAAAAAATCACTCAGACAATGAAATAATTAGGTAATATCATCTTTGTGGCAACTCCCGCCTGTCAGCTCAGACGGAGCAGACCACCTCCGATGCATGCTCTGTCAACACCTCTTTTTTTTCTAGACTTCCCTGCCCTATTGCGACCAAAATATGTCACCTACGATTTTTTTTCATTTTTACCATGATCATAGAGCACAAATGAACACTTTTATAAGATGAAAAACAAATTATTTCTTGCATCTGGGCGTGTTGTAGGCTATAATTGCAAGAGTAGCCCAGGGGTTAATGCACCTCAATGCCCATTGTTTTCACTCATTTCTGGAAATAGGAGCTTAAGTATCCCTAAGATTCAAAATATTACAGTAATTAAAAATATACTGACATCCCAAAATAAATTTTTCCAACATAAAAGCATGCAAATATGTGAATACTTTACCTCATATTTGCACTGTTGCTTGAGTGTACAGTTATTATGACTCCAGGTTTTTATTTGACTAATAAGCGTTGATTTTACAGTAGAACAGGACTTGCCAAATACCCTGAGAAAAAATCCAAAAGCTATATAATTTTGTAAATATCTTGTACATTACAAATATAGTAGCATATGGTTAGAATTAAGATAAATGCTATACTGTATACATACTAAAATATACAATAAATTATTATAATTTATAATCTATAACAAAATTCTTATGAAGATTAAAATGTTATATAATGATTACCTATATTCATCAGCTAATTATATATAATTATTGTATTAGTGTATATGATTATCTGTAATCATCTAAAAATTTAAAACCACTTAAAATAATTTTTATAAACAATTATCTGTAATTGCACAGTAATATAATTATGTAATACCTAATTATGTAATGTGTTTAATTTGTATATAATTATTGTCCATTATAGTGCAGAGGTTGCACCAAAACAGCAGTGATAGCAGGCCGCAAAAAAAAAAAAAAAAAAAAAAAAAAAAAAAAACTTTCATTACGGGCAAATGAGTGGGAGGTCAGGGTCCAAGGAAAGACCCCCATTCATACAATCAAAACTGATTGTACGTACAGAGGTCAAACAGCATGATGGCATTAGTATATTACTGTATATATTATATACTGTATATTATATACAGTGTATACTGTATAGTATATACTGAATGAGTATATACTGTAATATAGACTATAAACAATATAGAAAATCAAACTTGTTAATTTGGTTACCCTTGCCAATAAACACACAAGTCCTAACTGGTCACCATCTATAGGCATCCATAGCCTATGTCACTAACTCATTTTGATTTAATTATTTTGTGTGAATTGCGTTGGAATTGAGCTGTGTTGTTTACCAGACTATTCATTTCGTGAGAATAGTTTATTTTTATATTTTTTCATATTTTCATTTCATTTTTTAACTGTTTTTCTTATATTTCAGTGATGGGAACATCACATCACTTGATATTCCCAATTTTCTGATGTGAACATCAGACCATTTGGGAAGGCATCGGACAAGGGAGTGGGAAATGGTGGGGATGACAAGGGGACGGAAGTGAAAGATGGTGGGGGAGGACGAGGGAGCAAGGGGGGGGGGGTAATGGTGGGGAAGGACGAGGGGACGGGGAGTTTGGGATGGAGGGGATGAGGGGATGGGGGAATGGAGAATGGTGGGGAGGACGAAGGGACAGGGGAGTGGGGCATGGTGGGAAGGAAGAGGGAATGGTGGGGAGGACGAGGGTACGGATTAGGGGGGGGGGGAATAGTGGGGAGGACTGTGGGATAGGGAAGGTTGTTGTGGCTCAGCAAAGCACATGCGTTGATGACCCACAGCAACGCGTGGCCGGGTACTGCTAGTATAGTAATATACAAGAAAGCTATAACTTTACCAATCAACATGACATGATGCATGACTTGGGTATGGGGAGAATGCTGCAAAAAGACCCATGCTAGCACCAATGATGATGATTGTCACCAGCAGGAGGACACAGCAACATTTGCAACAACCTGGAAACAATAATAATAATAATGTATTAATACTGTAATGTTTGAATGAAAGTAAAGAAAAGACCCAATATAAGTGTGAGAATTGTGGAATTCCCATTGCCTTGAGTGTCAGGGTTGTGCATGACAGAGCAATGGAGTGGATTCGTCATCTTGTGCACTTGTGTGCACAGAACCTTAACTGCTTTCGCATACAGCTAGGACCATCATGTTTGCTATCAGCAAGTAGGGCATGCTGTGAGCAGTTCAACGATACTGTTGGAAATAATTTCCAACATACTGTAATACATTCAATAGAAATTTAACCCAAAATAATAAAGTAAAATCTATAAGGATTCATCAAGTTTATTTTGTAAAGGAACATGAAAAGTCATTTCAAGGGTCTTAGATGGACCAAACAATAGCAATATGGTGTGGCTACTGCCTGGCACTGTGATCTTGAATAGCATTGTATTCACTGACATCTGAACATTGTACACAGTCTATCATACTCAGGCTCTTCTGTAATACTATCATCGCTAAATAATAGCAATTACATATATATTTTGACATTTTTAAGCGATGCTGTGGTCATAAGCTGAACAGCAGTGCTGTTAGCTTGGGCTGCATGTGCCAGCCTTGGATGCTCGCTCAGTACTGAGGCCTTCACATCCGGGAATGGTTACCTTACCTTGAGGTTCCCTTGAGGTGCTTCCGGGGCTTAGCGTCCCCGCGGTGCAGTCGTCGACCAGGCCTCCTGGTTGCTGGACTGGTCAACCAGGCTGTTGGACGCGGCTGCTCTCAGCCTGACGTACAAATCACAGCCTAGTTGATCAGGTATCCTTTGGAGGTGCTTATCCAGTTCTCTCTTGAACACTGAGAGGGGTCGGCCAGTTATGCCCCTTATGTGAAGTGGAAGCGTGTTGAACAGTCTCGGGCCTCTGATGTTGATAGAGTTCTCTCTCAGAGTACCTGTTGCACCTTTGCTTTTCAATGAGGGGTATTTTGCACATCCTGCCATGCCTCCTGGTCTCATGGTATGTTATTTCAATGTGCAAGTTTGGGACCAGCCCCTCTAATATTTTCCACGTATAGATTATTATGTATCTCTCCCGCCTGCGCTCAAGAGAATACAAATTTGGGCTCTTAAGTCGGTCCCAGTAGTTTAGATGTTTTACCGAGTGGATTCTAGCAGTAAAGGATCTCTGCATGCTCTCCAGGTCAGCACTTTCTCCAGCTTTAAAAGGGGCTGCCATTGTGCAGCAGTACTACACTCTAGAGAGCACAAACATCTTGAAAAGTATCATCATCGGCATAGCATCTCTAGTGTGAAAGGTTCTTGTTATCCAACCTGTCATTTTTCTTGCAGTTGCAATGGCTACTTTATTGTGTTCTTTGAAGGTAGGATCTTCCGACATGAGTACTGTACACCCAAATCCTTTACATTGCCTTTTCTTCTTCTTCTTGATAGCAGGTGCAGTTTGCATGAAGGGTTTGTCCTCCCGATGACTGCACCAGTACAGATGTTGGTAGAGGCGTTTATGTTGAAGATGATAAGAGATTCAAAAGTGCTTGTTGCGTTGTGCTGTAGACAGAGGAGCGGCGACTAAAACAGAGGTGTATGTTAGAGGGAGACTTGCCGCACTGTAGGGCGGTATGTTGTGTTTATGGCGTCAGCTGAATTATTCACAGAAATACACTGGAGCCTGTCAGTAAGGTAAGACTGAAGGTATTGGAAGGAGTGACCTCTGACTCCATAATGATGTAATTTAAGAAGAAGGTTTTGGTGGCTGACAGTATCAAAAGCCTTACGTAGGTCAACAAATAATCCAACAGAGAACTCATTTTTATCAAGAGCTGCATGTATCAAGTAAATCATACTAATAGGTGCATCATTAGTGCTTTTTTGGGGGGGGTCTGAAACCATATTGGCAAGAGCTAAGTGTATTTTGTTTGGCTAGATAAGCATAAAGCTGCTTGTAGATTAGTTTTTCAAATATTTTTGACAAGTTCAGTAGAATTGATATACAGTAGGTCTGAAATTGTTGACATCAGTGAGATCACCACATTTATGAACTGGGGTTACTGTAACACCACTATAAAGTACCACTAATATTGTAACACCACTATAAAGTACCACTAATATTGTAACACTACTAAAGTTGTACACTAAATATTATTGTATCCTAGACTATACTTGATGGTGAGAAGTAAAGCAGAGGAAGGGAGGGAGAAATAAAGAAGAATAGTGGGGAGTTGGAAAGGATTAGAAAACGTGGACAGGGAGGGGAACTCGTCTGTGGGGTAACAGAAAATGAGGGGCGCACGGGAAAGGGGGAGGCCTCGGGCTACTCTTTACTCCCACTTACTCTCTCCTCCTGCTCCTTCCTAACCCTCCTCAGCATCCCCGTCTCCTCCTTCCTCCCCCCTTCCCATGCGCCCCTCATTTTCTGTTGTCCCACGACAGTTGGGGCAACAGAAAATTTTCTGTTATCCACGTTTTCTAATCCTTTCCACCTCCCCACTATTCTCCTTTATTTCTCCCTTCCTTCCTCTGCTTTACATCTCATCATCAAGTATAGTCTAAGATACAATAATATTTAGTGTACAACTTTAGTAGTGTTACAATATTAGTGGTACTTTATAGTGGTGTTACATTACTATCGCATTTTTTAGAACATCTGGAAAGGTTTGGAGTTCAAGTGACTTGTAGAGCAACGCAATAGCAGGAGCTAAAAATCTGGAAAATCAAGTTTTACATATTGATTATGTTTCCGTCTTAATTCTGACAAAAAATAATTTTTGTTTATCAAGCTATCAAGATGTTTTCAACAATATTCTTTGGGCATTCGTCTATTCCAACATGGTTGCACATTTTTGGAATATGATAAATGAGCTGACCCAACTGATACTTGGGTCACATTCCAATATGGTGCGAGACATTTATAGTTATTTATTTATATATACAAGAGTTCTTACATTCTTGTAAAGCCACTAGCACGCATAGCGTTTCAGGCAGGTCCTTAATCCTAATTTTTTGTCCGAATACGATCTGCTAAATCGTTTAACAACCAGGTACCCATTCAATGCTGGGTGAACAGAGGCTACAGTAAAGGACTGGCATCCAGTCAATCCATCCCCGGCCAGGATACGAACCATGGCCAGAACGCTTGCGAAGCGCCGGGCAAGTGTTTTACCACTGCACCATGAGGAATAGATGTGTTCCACTGCTAGCGAGAGGCCGCCACACTCTTATTTATTTATTTATATACAAGAAGGTACATTGGAGGTTAACAGAGAACATAGAATTTAAGTTGAATTTACATTCTTGTAAAGCCACTAGCACGCATAGCGTTTCGGGCAAGTCCTTAAACTAACAGATAATTTTTAGATAATTAACAGTAAAATTGGCAAAAAAATTTTACAGGTACTTTACAGCTTTACTTTAAAGGTACAGATGATTTTAAGTAGAAAAATTACAGTAAATTGAAAAAAAAAAAAAATTACAGGTACAGTGGCAAGAAATTTTGACACAAAAGCAGATTAGAATAATACACAATAATAACAATACACAATAATGAACAAGGATTCTAGGTATATTAGGAAAACATTTCAGGGTTATACGTTGGTTCACTGAAGCACTCCTCATAAAATGACCTAAAAATATTTAAGAATTGCCCATATTACAAAAAAAAACCTGACTACGCAGCTCCTACATATACACAACTGAACTAACTCGTAAATACTTATAAGTGTACCCAAGGTTGTAAACCCCCGTTGGTCACAACCATCACTACCCTGCCATGTTAGTGGTGCTTCAGAACCCTCCTTGGTTGAAATATATAAATGCCCCTACCCATTTTAGAGGGCAGTATAGAAGGATTTGGACGGCGTGGTGTTAAGACAGCTGTTTGTGTTGGTAAATGGTGGAGGGAAGAGTGAGAGGACGTGCGGGCGTAAGTGACACATCCGCCCTCACCTCTCCTCACAGTTGCCACATACCAATTGCTCAAAGTAGCGTTGTTCTTCTTGTTGTTATAGATTCAGCTACTCGGAACAAGTTCCAAGTAGCACGGGCCATGGTGAGCCCGTAACTTACCTGGCACAGGAGTGGGGCAAGTAGCACGGGCTATGGTGAGCCCGTAGGGAACTTACCTGGCACAGGAGCGGGGAAAAATAGCGAGATGCGACGGTCTAAATGTAGCGAATTTGTAATTGTAGCCCAATTTTTTGTTTAGTGACTGATATACGGTTTTCAAAGTAATATATTTTAGTACATAGAGTACACTACAAGATTTTAATGATTATATTAATATTATCTACACGTCGTTCTACGTCTTTACAACTGAAGAGCTAGTTTTTTATCTACACTGTGTAACCCTTCATAAAGAATAGGGTTGCAGCACATTTACAGCACAGATTTAGATTTAGATTTTTTATCCAGGTAAAGTTACATATATTGAGTTGCATACATAATGTTGGATTTAAAGATAGAGCTAGTACATACAATACCTAAAGCCACTAGTACGCATAGCGTTCGGGGCTATGTATTATAAATAATATTATAAATAAATACACAGCTGTGTATTTGATCTGCTATCAGAAATTTCAGCCAAATATCCCCAGTTTGCTAACTGTAGGTAGTAACTAAGTGATTGTAACTTATCCACCGCTGCCCATTGGATGGGGTGAGATTCTTCTTAAATTACAACATTATGGAGTCAGAGGTCACTCCCTGCAGTACCTTAAATCTTACCCTACTGACAGGCTCCAATATGTTTCTATGAATAATTCAATTTCTCCCACCCTACCCATCAACATTCGTTTCCCCAGGGGAACATACTTGGCCCTCTCCTCTTTCTCATCTACATTAATGACCTCCCAAATGCCTCCCAACATCTCAAACCAATTCTATTTGCTGACGACACGATCTTCATTTACTCCAGTCCTGACCCCCTTGCTGTAAATGTCAGAGTGAATACTGAGCTAAATAAAGTCCATCACTGGCTAACTGCCAACAAACTCACCCTCAATATTGACAAAACTTTCTATATTTTGTTTGGCAATAAATCCTCAAATCAAATAAATCTCAGGATTAACAATACCCAAATTTGTAACAAAGTAGATGGCAAATTCCTTGGCGTTCTCATTGCCCGCAAGCTGAATTTCCAGGGACACATTCTAAATATATCAAAAAAAGTTTCAAAAACTGTTGGCATTCTTTCTAAGATCAGATATTATGTACCTCGCCCTGACCTGGTGACACTCTATTGCTCTCTCATCTATCCTAATCTCAACTATGGTATTTGTGCTTGTGGCTTTACAAGAATGTAAACACCATGCTTTGTACCCTTACAAACCCAATGTACCTTCTTGTAAATAAATAAAAAAATAAATAAATAATAAATAAATATATAACAAGAGATGTCCCAATGGATGAGAAGAACCTATTGAATTCAACAGCAGTGTCAGAGGCTGAAAGCACACCATCGTCATTGGATAGGAGTGGTTTTTTATTCAAAATCTTTTTTTATCCAAATATTTGGGAAATAGTGCTCCATGTTTTCTTAATGTTGCCTTTAATTTGGGTAAATCTATTTTCGTAGTATTTTATTTTGGCTTTCCTAATTATTTTAGACAGCACTGATGAGCAAATCTTTGAAAATTCTTTGGAGACGACTCTAAACCTATACTTCTTCTCAAAATCATGTTTTTTATTAATAGATTTAAGTATACCTTTTGTAAGCCATGGAGTGTTTAACCTTTTAGTTGTGACTTGTTTCATTAGCATTGGACAGTGGGTGTTTAGAGGCTCAGAGTTTTCGGAAGAAATGTTTGCACTGCTAGGTTGATGTTCACTATGTTACATAATTCAGTCTCCCAGTTGCCATTAGCAGCAGCAGTAACAAAATTGCTTATAGAAGTTTCATCGTGCAGCTTGAAGCTTATCTTCCCTGTATCTAAAGGTGGTTTATTAATGTTGATTAGGATAAATGTGGGGTAATGGTCTGTGGTCCTATCAATGATTATCCCTGAAGTAAGTGGAGAGGTTATGTTAGTCCATATGTGGCCAAGAGCAGAGCCAGTACTATCAGCGATTCTAGTAAGTTTAGTGATTAAGGGTATGAGGAAGCAGGAATTCATACAGTTGAGGTAACTAGCAGCAGGAGGGTTATCAGATTTGCAGAGGTTAATTTAATAATTATCACTTTCGCGCGCCCAAGTGCACCCGGCGAACTAGGAAAAAAGTTAGCACAATATGTGCTCTCTGCGTTTGCGGGCGATCAAGCGGAAACACTGAAAAGTGTATACTCTTTTCACTGTCCTGATCTTAATTTTCGATATACAGATTTAATTTTTTTACCAATGTGTTTGCAATAAAATGTTCTACAAGAATACATGTATAAAATGTCACCAAACTGTGATTTAAACCACTACCAATGAAGAAAATACGTGGATCACTAGCTGTGAGCTAGTGCGTGAGCTCCAAACAGTGAAGAGATGTTTCCATTCTTTTCAGAGTTGTCAACTCCACACTTCTCCTACAGCGTTAAATTTGGTATCTTTGAGATCGCAATAAAATTCCCTACGCGAACATATGCATATAAATGAAAAATGATGATAGCGGCCCACCCGCAAGAGTGTGGGAAGTGGGCGAAGTGTTATCTGTTACAGGACATCGGCGATCTACAATAGTTCTACCACGAAGATACAAGACAATGCCGTTCTCCCAAATAGGCTATGTGGCTACTAACGAAAACGTAAATTTTATGGCAAACACGTTGATACTATCCCCAAGTCGATCGGATAAGAATTGAGTTTATATAATATAAAAATATAAAATATAAAATTAAATATAGAATATAAAATTGAGTTTTATAGAAATATTTGTTCGTCGAACATAAAAAGATGTCCAATACTAACACACGATAGGCGTCAAGTGACCCCCAACGGACTCCCTCTTGTGTCCACGGCTCGCGAAAGTGCACTTTTCTCCCCCGCGGACACAAGATCGTGTCCGCCGGGGGTCACTTGAAGTTGCCCAAGTAGACATATTTTTATGTCCGACGAACAAATATTTCTATAAAATTCAATTCTTATCCGATCGACTTGAGTATATTATTAACATGTTTACCATAAAATTTACGTTTTCTGTAATAGCCACATAGCCTATTTCGAAGAACGGCATTGTCTTGTATCTTCATGGAAAAACTATTGTAGATCGCCGATGTGCGGCAACAGTAACACTTCGCCCACTTCCCACACTCTTGCGGGTGGGCCGCGATTATGATTCTACATTTATATGCCTATGTCCGTGTAGAAAATTTTATTGCAATCTCAAAGATACCAAATACAACGCTATAGGACAAGTGTGGAGTTAACAACCTTGAAAAGAATGGAAACATCTCGTAGCTGTTTGGAGCTCACGGCTAGTGATCCACGTAATTTCTTTATTGGTAGTGGTTTAAATCACGGTTTGGTGACATTTTATACATATGTTCTTCTAGAATATTCTATTACAAACACATTGGTACAAAAGTGAAATAAGTACATCGAAAATTAAGGTCAGCACAGTGAAGAAAGTATACACTTTTCCGTGTTGCCGCTCGATGGCCTGAAACTGTGATTCCACTTGGAGCAAGTTTTGGTCCTGTTCGTGGAGAGCAGTAAAGTGTTTTATTAATATTAAAGTCCCCTGAAATTATTAGATGGTTTTTGTTCAGTCTGTTTTCTAGGTTAGAGTTGATTTCAGACACATCAGTGTTAGGAATTCTGTAGACTGCTCCCACAGTCAGGACAGCCTCGCCACCCTTGACTCTGAAACAGGCAAAGGTATACTCTCCACAGGAGTCTCTATTTCTAATTACTTTTAAGCATGTCGATTCTTGGTGGTAGTAAAGAGCAGTACCACCACCTCTCTGAATTGGTCGACAGTTGTGAATTGCTGAGTAGTTTGGTATGTTAAAGAGTTGAGTAGTATCCTCTTTTAACCACGTTTCAGTAAGTATAACAAAGGAGAATTTGTTGTCAACTGTTTGAATTAAAAATAAATAAATAAATAAATAAATATGTTTATTCAGGTAAGGTACATACATACAAGTGATGTTACATTAATGGATTGATATATAGATAGAGCTAGTACATACAATGCCTAAAGCCACTATTACGCAATGCGTTTCGGGCAAGAAAAACATTAATATCTAGAACTTAATACTAATTGAGCATAAAGAATAAAAAGTGTTGAAAACAAATACAAATAAAGATAAAAAAAGGGGGAACATGACTGAAAAAGCAGCACAAATACAATAGGTTGACAAACAGTGTTGATTAAAAAAAAAAAAAATAATAATAATAAAATAAAATAACAGACATGGGTTGACAATAAAGGAGTGAGGTGGGTTACAGGGAATTTATTAGGTAGTGTTTAGTTTTTATCTTAAACTGGTTGAGAGAGGTACAGTCTTTAACATGGTTGGGAAGGTCATTCCACATTCTGGGTCCCTTGATTTGTAGAGCATTTCTAGTTTGATTAAGTCGTACTCTAGGAATATCAAAACTGTATTTATTCCTGGTGTGGTGCTCATGGGTTCTGTTACAACCTTCAATGAAGCTTTTGAGGTCAGGATTGGCATTACAGTTCAGCGTTTTATATATGTATAATACACAAGAGAGAATGTGCAGTGACTTAATATCTAACATATTCAGAGATTTGAGTAAGGGTACCGAGTGATGTCTGGGGCCAGAGTTGGATATTGTCCTAATAGCAGCTTTGTGTTGGGTAATGAGAGGACGTAAATGATTTTGGGTAGTAGAACCCCAAGCACAAATACCATAGTTGAGGTATGGATAGATGAGGGAGTAATAGAGAGTAACCAGGGCAGGGCGGGGTACATAATATCTGATCTTAGAAAGAATGCCAACAGTTTTTGAAACTTTTTTTGATATATTTAGAATGTGACCCTGGAAATTCAGCTTGTGGTCGATGAGAACGCCAAGGAATTTGCCATCTA